TCTCTTTGCCTATCCTTGCCAGTTGATGAAAACTCTGGCTTTTGTATTTTTCCCCCAAATCACACTTTGCTCAATTCTTTGCTTTCATAATGACTACTTTCCCCTTCAACTGACGTCAGATTCTGCTGCCTCCTATAATTTTCCTAATTGCTTTCTCTTCTGTCTCAGTTTATGCCTCAACAATGGAAAAGAAAAATATGAGAAGGCATATTTTGGGAAGGGAGGGGCCAGGGCAGCTTAAAGGAGGTGGTTATTTCCTAATTGTAATGTTTCTTACTAACTCTCCTCAATGCATCTGTAACCTACCCTCTCGTTAGTAGTTCTGTCACATTTGCAAAAATCTGAGGTAGGTCGGAGGAAATGAACATTTACTGAGAACCCACTGGGTGCCTGAGCTTTCTTACGCATTGTTTCACTTACTCTTCAAGAAGTCATTTGAGAAGTGTTTTTGTCCCCATTTGCAAGTGAGGAAATGAGACACCTATGAGGTTTAATTTGTCTTTCTCACAGAGGGCCAGCATTCAAAAGCTGGTCTGTCTGACCCCAGGTCTGTGCTGTCTTTTATGGCCTGGCCTTTTCCAGTCTGCTTAATACCGTCATGACAAAGGGAAGGTGGGGGGAACATTGGGCCCCAGAAGAGTGTATACCATTAAAGACACTCTGATACCTGGCTGTAAAAGCAGTTTCAGTTCTGTGAGAAAGAATAAAATCAACTGCATTCTCAGAAAAGTGCTGATTTCTGGAAGGGTTGTCTTTATTTGAGGTGGCAGCTATCATTTCCCTCGGGGCATAGAAAATAAGATTTAACCACTGGACAACTTTTCATAAAGAATGCCATGGTTAGTTAAGTGTATATTAATTCTACTGGTATTAAAAGTGCCCTTAATTCTACTACTAAAGGAGATATGAATAATCCCAAACAGTATCAATGTACTTAGTTTGGAATGTACGTATTTTGTCTTTTTTGGCTGGGTTGGATAGGTTGAGGGGGTAAGTATATATATATATATATATATATATATATATATATACACACATACACACACACACACGTATATATACACACACACACAGCTTAGGGCAAAAGTAGGTTTACAGTTGTGAGTACATGAAACACAGAATTGATTCTTATATTAGTATTTATTAATTATTGTATTTTCCATATGAATTACTATAAACCTACTTTGCCCCGCCCTGTATATTTGTGTGTGTGAGAGAGAGAGAGAGGGAAAATGGGTATTTGTGGTGATTTGGGAATTCACCTTAAAACTTCATCTGGCTTCCTAATTCATATTAAAGGGAGTATCACCTCTTACTGATTCTGAACTGTAGAAAATTAGCTGCCTCCTTTCTTACCACACATACCCTTTCTCTGAGGAAAGGAACATTAGAATAGACAGGGCATAGTGCAAGGCCAGGCGGGAGGAAGAGGGGGTTGTTGGATACTAAAATGAAATGCTTCTTTGGCACACAGCTTTCTTCAGCTCTCTTGAGTCTGTCTTTTCATGTGGAATTCTAGGAGAAATAAGTTCACCAAGGAAGTGAGAAAGCAAATAGGAGTTGCTGAAGAGTTGGTGGCTATGTAAAACAGTTTCTCAAACGGAGAAAGATATTTATACTTTACTTAAAATGGGAAAAGTTTTATCCTTACTACTGGTTCTGGGTTGACATTTAACTTCTCATCTGAAAACACTACAAATTAACTATTTTAAGCTGTGAAACCAAGTTTGTAGTAACAGACCCAGCAATTAATCACCTAGTATTTGTTTCTTAAAAAAATGATATATTACAGCTCCACCAGGTGGCTGCCAACAGTGTGAATGAGACAGGCTGACATCCACTAGGAGGAGGGAGAAGCTGTTCCTGATTTTATTTGTGTATCATTTGTCTACATCAAACTCAGTTTAGTGAAGGGCAAAGAAGGGAGACAGACCATTGCAGGTTTTTCTAGGAAGTCTGTCTGGCGCCCCCGCCCCCCCCAAGATCACTATGACTCACTTTTGACATAGAAGTACCGACAGTTTCTGATTGTGCTGCAGGCTCATGTATTCTGGTGTCCTCGTTCTGTTATTTTTGGTTTTCCGAAAAGGGCAATAGGTTAATTTTGGCTTGTGACCATTAGATATGAGTGTGATGCGGTTCAGGTGCTAGCTATCTTGACGTGTAATACATCACAGTGTGGTAGGAAAGGATGCTTGGTGACCTGAATTCCATTTTAGGCTCTGCTCCCATTAGGCAGGTGACTCTTTTGGCTCTCAGTTTTCTTATCTGTGAAATAAGTGAATTGTACTGGCTGATCTCCAGAAACTTAGCCATATGCACAAGTGTTTTAGTAATTTTTGTTTTAATTTGGAAAAGAATAAACTTGTTAAACATTTGAAACCACATACAGAAGATGAGAGATAAAAGCTATATTTAGTATAGGCATTTACATTTTTTAAATTAAAGTCTACATTATGATATTGATGATAAGAACTAGAGTGAAACAATCTTCACTATTCTCTATAGTTCTAATGTGGCACAGATGTGATAATAAAGTCCATATGCAGCCTTGCTGAAAGTATCTGATTAGTCATAAAATGTTAAAAATAAGTAAACTGAGCTATCAGATTGTTTTAGGCAGCACAAAGAATCTTTAAAAATCCAGCTACTAAAACATTGAAAGGTGAAATTCATTTTCCCAATTTATTGGTTCTGTTCTCATCTAGGTTTAGAGAAAAGAGAAATAAACAGCTTCTTTCTATGTGTTAAGTAAATATTTTAATCACTTAAAAATCAAAGGATAGTATAAAATTGAAATTTTAAGAGTTCTGAGTAACACTCACGGGTGTGTTCTTTTGTATTCATTAATAAAATGAACCATCCTTAATGGATCCAGATAGTCTAAATTGCAGTTGTTAAGTGTGACATTTTAATTGATTTTTTTTTCATGTTAGTTGAAGACACTGTCTTGAAAAAAGCATGACCCAAATTTTATTCTAGTTTTTAACAATACAACCAGTTTAGGAAATACCAAGAACTGATTGTAGTGACCCCATGCTCCTTGTACTTTCCCCATTAACAACAAGTGAATTCATTATTTTACTCTTTCTGCTTCCCCCCTTTAAAAAAATAATCTGTTATTTTAAAAAGTTACTCATGAGTGAAGACTGATCCATATGGTGGCTCCTCCTACCCTTTCAAAACAATCAGTTTATACATTTTTTGCTACTCTCCTTCGTTTAGTTTGCCTTCTTCCATATGTGCTTTTATTGGCATATTGCTGCGCCACCTGCTTGGAGTTTGGAATATTAGCTTTGAATGCAACATAGACTTTGATCTTGGTTTTTTTCCCCCTGTGAGACATTTAGATGAAAACTGAATCTTTGACTTTAATAACGTGTTCTTTCTGTATATTTCCTGCCTGAACTTGTCATAAGGCTCTATGAGGGACATTGCAGCTGGTTGCTATGGAATCGATTGATAATTAATAAAGATTTTGACTTTAGATAGAAATTAAAGAGACAGGGTAAAATCAGATTTTCAAATATTGGCCCAGACCTTCTGTTAATTTAAGAGTGGCAAGTCTAGTTTTGGTGAAAAATTTTAGAAAGTTAGTTTCACAGTGTGCCTTATGTCAAAGGTAAAGTCTTAATTTCAGTTCCTGCTCATAACCACATGATGAAGGGTTACC